GCTTGTGTTCCCTCTCTCGGTGTGTCTCTGTCAAATAAATAAAATCTTTAAAAAAAAAAAAAAGATATGTATAGATTAAAAAGATGGAGAAAGGCATACCCTGTTAACACTAATCAAAAGAAAGTGGGAGTGGCTGGCTATATGTCCCCCAGACTGGCATTCGGAGTGAGAGAAGTTATCAGGGATAAAGAGGGACAACATTAATGCTAAAGGGGTCATTCTACAAGATGTAACAATCCTTCGTGCATGTGCACCTAACAACACAGCATCAAAGTACATGCGGCAAAAGTGATAGAACTGCAAAGAGAAATACAGGAATCCGCTCTTACAGCTGGCGACTTTAACACCGATCTATCAGAAATGGACAGCTCCAGCAGGGAGAACTGCAGTATGGACAGAGCTCAACTCAACAGCACCATCCATTAACTAGATAGAGCTGACATCCACAGACTACTTCATCCAACAACAGCAGAATACACATTCTTCCTGAGCTCGCAAGGAATGTCCACTAAGATAGATCACATCATGGGCCATAAAACACATTTTGACAAATCTAAAAGAATTGAAATCATACAGTATTGGCTCTCTGACCACAGTGGAATTAAACCAGAAATAAAACTACAGAAATAGAGCTGGAAAAAACCCCCAATACTTGGAGATGAAACAACACAATGCTAAATAACAACCTGATTTAAAAATGGGCAAAAGACCTGAACAGACATATCACCAAAGTATATGTACAGATGGCAAGTAAGTGTGTGAAAAGATGTTCATCATCTTACGGCATCTGTGAAATACAATTTAGAACAACGAGACACCACTGCATCTCTGCTGGAATGGCCAATACTCAAAACACAGACCACACCAAATGCTTCAACCTTGAGGTGGAAGATGCCTGGGATATTTTCCCATGCAAAGGAATACACGTATATAAACAAGTTTTTAAATGGCAGACATCAACAAAGCCAAATGGCAAATAGCAGACTGGAAAAATGATCTGCAACACAACAGACAGAAGAAAGTTTAATACCCCTAATATGCAGAGAAAAAAATTTATAAATTGATATTTAAGAAAAACAGAAACGTTGGTCCAATTGCCAATACAAAAAGGCAATTTGCCAACCTGGGAATGTCTATGTGTATCTGAAGAATATCCAATAAAGACACAAAGATCCACTCAGCATTGCTAATAGTCAGGGAAATTAAAATTACAGTAACAGAGATAAGTCAGCTTTTTCCCCCTCACCAGACTGGCAAAAGTTGAAAACAGGAACAATATACATCACAGGGAAAGATGTGGGGAAATGTGCAATTTTGTATATTGCTGGTGGGAATGTGAACTATTTCCTTTTGAGAGAAGTGAACTGTCACTATCAAAATTTAAAATGTATAGTCTTTGACCTAAAAATATCACTTTGGGAAAGCTATCCCATAAAAAAAAATTACCAGTGCATAAGAATATACATATAAAGATGCTGACTGTATCATTCCTGGTGAGGGCAAAAAACAAAACATACTAGTTTGAATACCCATCAACAGGAAAAGAGTTACACAAATCATGGTGTATACGTATCCCTATGATGGAATACTACGGACTTTATTAAAAAGACTAAGTTAGAGCGATAGCTACTAACCTGGAGAGATATCCAGGATGTATTAATTGAGAAAAGCAAGTGGTAAATTAATATAAGCAACAGAACTGTTCTATAAACACACACACACACACACACACACAAAACAAGTAACTAGGAAAATTCTATGAGCGTATGTTTGTATGATAATGAAAAAAAGGGGTGGGAGTCTATATAAAGGCTCTACAGCTGACCTCCTTTATCACTTTTATGTCCACTCAGCATGTAACAGAGCACCATTGTTCACAACAATTCCGAATAAATATTGGTGAAGAAGGGGAATTGGCCACTCTCTCTGGAAACAGAGGGGTTGCTGGGTAGGAATGGGGGGCAATTACTGGTGTTTCTTCTTGATATATTTTCATGCTTTTTCACTGGTTATGGCGAAACGTATTACTTCTTTAATCTTTCAAAGGGAGCTGAACATATTTTTTTGGTAAAAAAAACAGCACACGTAAAGAGCTACAGAACAGTGAAGGTATTAAACTCCTGTTCTGACGTACTTGGAGAGTCATATCCAGCATCCCCTCAACACCACTGTCTCTTGTCTGTTACGGGGTGATTTTGTAAGAAACGGGACTCTTAACTAAAGAACACAAGTCCACGGTAAAATGGGTAGACACTACACAGAGTCAAAGTGAGATCAGCATGAGAGTTAGACTTCACAAATGGCACCAGCTAAGTATTTGTCTTTTACACGGGAGTTCAACTGACAAATCAGCCGTACTCACGATGTGTCTTGGGACCTGATGAAGTATTTCAAAGTCTTACTTTGCTCGAGTCCATGGTACTGTAGGCGGAGAGATCATGAATTCTTTACTGACTCGTCAGGGTTCCTAATTCCAGACAGCAATTCTATCTGACCCTGAACGTCACCTGAATGCAAGGTTAAGCCACCCTGCACAGAGCGGCTATAAAAAGAGAAGCCAGAGGGCAAGCTGACAAGACTAGAGAAAGCCAAAAAGAACAGAGATGTCTGCATGCCAAGTGGCAACGCTCTTTTAAAACCGTATGAGATTAGGGGGCGCCTGGGTGGCTCAGTTGGTTAAGCATCTGCCTTTGGCTTGGGTCGTGATCCTGGGGTCCTGGGATCGAGTCCCTCATGGGGCTCCCTGCTCAGCGGGGAGTCTGCTTCTCCCTCTGCCTCTCCCCCAACTCGCGCATGCGGTCTCTCAAATAAATAAAATAAAATCTTAAAAAAGCAAAAAACAAAAAACAAAAATGTATGAGATGAAGACAATACGTGGGTAGCCAGCACGCTTCCAGAAAATGTGATCCTCTTGTTCCTTGGATCTAAACCAGAACGGACATATCTACGTGTATATAGATGTGCATATACACACAGTCTCATGAACGGGGTCTTGCTAGTTCTGCCCCATACAACATTTGTGGCAAAGATGGGAAACGTCTGAACAGGTGTAACAAAGCGCTTCTGACATTCCCAAGGGCAGAGGCATGGATTTCTTAGAATGCGACATTCCTCTCTTAACAAGAGGGAACTCCTCTTTTCGCAGACTATCTCCCTGGTCAGCATTTCAACTTCACGTTGACTATGTCCCAGGAGGCAGGAGATGGGTCAAGTGACTCAGGAAATATCATTACCAGGTGAACAAAAAGATAAACAATTTAATACCAACAGCGAGTCAAGGTTGGTCTACTGTCTAAATTCTCAACTGTTCCACCCGGCCGAGAGTCCATTCTGTGGGACTCAGGTACCTCACAAAAGCTTCACAGATACACCAAGGCTACTTCCTCTGTGCCCGACGCACGGGAACCCTGCTGCTAACGCACTGCTGTCCTCCCTGTTGAGGCCGCCTCGAAGCCCCCAACTCTTAGGGCTCACCCCAGGCTCTAGAGACACCAGCAGGCAAGCTTGGGGACATTCAGCTCAACCAGAGCTCCCGCTTAGGTTTTAATAAAATGCCAGTGAGGAAAAAGGGACTCCCTTAGGGTTCCCCCATCTGTCCCGGTAAAGAGGAGCAAAGACGGGGGTGGGGGGGGAGGGTACCCTGCAAATCTCCACTCTGTTGGCAGCTTCCTCCATTTCTTCCCTGAGGGCATCAGCTTTGGCACCCACAGGCTGCAAGCCACCGGACAGACCTGAAGACTTGGAAGTCTGCTGCCACCTGATGGAAAACAGGAGAAAAAGAGGGGAGGCGTGAGACAGGTGGAGAGCCCTGGGAATAACACCTTGGGGACGCGGAGAAGAGAGCGGCTTACAAACACTACCCAGGAGGAAGGGGGCAGCTGTGGCCGGACACGGAGGGGACAGGCATGCCCCAGCCTGCCACCATTTCCCCGGAAATGTGTCGCCCGATGACCATCACCGGTGCTTTGTCCGAGGCCCGGTCTATGTCATCCCCATACGCTCCCTGCCTTCCCCGTGGGCTCGGAGTCTGGAAACACTCGCCGACGTGGCCGGAGCCAGTCGCCGGTGTCGGCTGGGAGAGAGAAGCAGAGGAGAAGCAGAGGAGAATCAAAACGAGTCCGAAGGCCCAAATCTCCACCGGTCAGCACAAAAAAGCTTCCCGTCGACACTCGGATACCGCGTTCGTATTTCCTTCGACGTCTGTCCTTGTGCGGGGACAGCAGGTGTCGGAGGAGGCGGCTCGGGAAAGTGTCGTGGCAAAGTACAGATGTTTCTGCCGGCCCTGCATTATCAGGGAATTACCAAGAGCCCCGAAGGAAGGTTCTGATCACACAAGACAATATAGGAGTTGCAGCAGGGATGAGCAGTGGGTTCTTTTTCCACGGAGGCTGTACATTGAGGCTTATAGGGGCCCTGGAGTTAAGAGCACCAAGTCAGATGGGTCAGTATCTTAAAAAACCAGTCCACCCTTTGTTTCCCTAATTGTAACTGGGACAGTTGAGATGTACAACCACTTCACGGCCCTAAGAAAAACAGTAGGGTCGTTAGGATGACAAAGGGCGGCCAACAGGGGACTGCAGTCTCTCCGGGGAAGTCGGGAGGGACAGCGAAGGGAAGGGGACCCTGGTGGGGGTGCTGGCCTGCCTCAGTTGACAAGAGACGCTGGAAACTATCATGTGAACACTCCCAGTGAAATAGGGCAACAGACTATAAACAGTTTTGCTTAAACACCATTCAGGCCTGTGGCGTGCGGACCCAACCTGACGGCCCTATAGGCCATTCATCCTAGAGGCACAAAGCGCAATGTGACCCTCATTTTGAGAGTCAAGAATCCCTAGGTGGTTTCTCTACATGATTTCTTCTTTCTCTGAGTTTGTTATCTGTGGGACAAAGAGAAGAGTACAAGACCATGACACAAGAAAGGGAAATGAAAGTCCTCTTTGGTATTAGCAAAAAAGAATAAAGTAAAGGATTCTGTGTTACTTTAAAAAAAAATGCATTCATGTGGGGAGGGGGGCCGCCTGGGTGGCTCAGTCGGTCGGGCATCCGCCTCTTGATTTCGGCTCAGGTCATGATCTCAGAGTCCTGGGATCGAGCCCCAGGTCTGGCTCCGTGCTTAGCGGGGAGTCTGCTTGAGATTCTCTCTCTCCCTCTCCCTCTGCCCCTGCTCACACTCGCTTTAAATAAATAAATAAAATCTTGAAAAAAAAATGCATTCACAGGAAAAGGACTTAAGAAGGCTTTGGGATGTCAAGCTGGCTTGAAGGTCCAGAGATGGACACACATGTCTTGGGAACCATTCATTCTTCATCCGAGTTAAGAATTCAGGGCAAATTACAAAGGTAATAGTCTACTCAAAGATGTTGAAAAATCTAAACTAACAGATACGGATTGCAAAAATTCCTGGGTAGTTCTTTCTCATATGGTTTGCCCGACAGAAATGATCTGTTTAATAAACTTCCGGTTTAGCCACTTGAAACAGAGTATTAAAGCGTTGTGGGATTTTTTTTGTCAAATAAAATAGGAGATGTCGTGGCTATAATTTAGATTGCTGATAATGAATATGGTAGATTATGAGATTAAGCTCAGGGGTGCCTGGCTGGCTCAATGGGTAGAGCACATGGCTCTTGATCTCAGGATCTCAGGGTCATGAGTTCAAGCCCCACATTGTGTGTGGAGCCTACAAATAAATAAACAAACAAACAAACAAACCTGCAACCACCATGTGGCTCATGCTATCTCAAGAAAAAACAACTAACCAACATACGTATGAAAAAAAATTAAGTAAACAGACACTGATTTTTTGAGGCTTCGAAGATCTGGATTCGATTTTTTGTAAAAACCTCAATCATCCTTAATATGTGTCTATTAAAATGAAGATATTTCCCCAAACTACCTTCCTTTTCTTTCCTATTTCCCTCTGTCTTTTCCCCTAAATATCTACTTTAGATAATCTCTTGGCAGTTTAGATCTTTCCCCCTCCCTTTATAGGGAACTTTATTTGCAATAGAGAAGTAACCTACTTTGAGATTACAAAATAGTGATAAGATGCAGAATGAGAGGGGCGCCTGGGTGGCTCAGTTGTTAATCATCTGCCTTCGGCTCAGGTCATGATCCCAGGGTCTTGGGATCGAGCCCCGCATCGGGCTCCCTGCTCCACAGGAAGCCTGCTTCTCCCTCTTCCACTCCCCCCGCTTGTGTTCCCTCTCTCGCTGTCTCTCTGTCAAAAAAAAAAGATGCAGAATGAGAGTGTGGAAATCAGATAATAAAATAGCAAGGAAAACATGGGAAAATGTGTATGGACAGTAATCTGTTGGGAAAAGAGACCATAATCATGAATTTCAAGGTATGGTGGCCTTGTCAGACATCTGTTCTGTAAATAAACTCAAGCACTTCCCTGCTCCGGCAAGAGAAGAAACCAGGGATTCTCAGCCAAGAAGTCTGAGCTTTCAAATTTGCAGAGCAGAAAGTTCCAGGCATTAAGGAGGGCACGTGATGTAATGAACACTGGGTGTTATATGCAACTGATGAATCACTGAACTCTACCTCTGAAACTTGAAATACACTATATGTTAATTAATTGAAAAAAATTTTTTTTAAAGATTTTTTTTAAATTTATTTATTTGAGAGAGAGAGAATGAGAGAGAGAGCACATGAGAGGCGGGAGGGTCAGAGGGAGAAGCAGACTCCCTGCCGAGCAGGGAGCCCGATGCGGGACTCGATCCAGGGACTCCGGGATCATGACCTGAGCCGAAGGCAGTCGCTTAACCAACTGAGCCACCCAGGCGCCCAATTAATTGAATTTAAATAAAATAAAAAGAAGAAAGTTCTGCTCTGATGTGACACCGTTATTAGCTGGGAAAGGTGCCATTGCTATATGGCTGGGGAGGTAGAGACGGAATACTACCTTTAATGAAGGCTAGAGGAGAGAAAAGGGCCAGAAATAAGGGTATGGAATTTTAGGGATCAGGAAAAGGGTCAAGAGGGCAAAGGCAAGAGGAGTTCAGGGCAACGGGAAGTCGAAAAGAGGAATTTTTGGAAGGCAGACAGGAACGTTCCTTTAGAGGGACATTTATTATTTCATCTGTCCAGTCTCCTTTCCTCTGTCATTGGCATCCTCCGGTTTGTGAGGTCCTGCCCTACTCCTGCTCTGATGTGTGGGCCAAAGGGAGCTGCCAGGGTTGTTTTGTTTTGTTTTAAGATTTATTTATTTTAGAGAAAGAAAGAGAGAGAGCAGGGGAAGGGGCAGAGGGAAAAAACATCCAAGCAAAGCAGATTCCCGCTGAGCAAAGAGCCTAATGCAGGGCTTGATCTCACAACCCATGAGATCAGGACCTGAGCTGAAACCAAGAGTCGGACGCTTAACCAACTGAGCCACCCAGGCGCCCCGGGAACCTGCCGATTTTGCAATGACCCTCACTGTGAGTGGCCTAGGTGAGGGTCCCTGATGCAAGCCAAGCCCACACCCATCCTTCATCACCTTGACCAACTGACAGGCCAAGGAAGTGGCATCTAAGCAAAGTCTAGAAAAATGAACCCTCTCCTCTGTACTTTTACAATTAGAACAAAAGGAACAGGTCTCATGCTGGGGAGACAGGAGCCCAAGGGACTATGAAGACACTGGATCTAAGATGCCTATATGCGGGAGAGGTAGGAGGTGAGGAACAGCTTCTAAGCCAATGAGACTGTGCAGTCCATCCTGGAGGCACTAAAATCTCTCCTATTTAGCTACTTCTTTAATTCCATGAGCTGCCCAGTATCCATCCCCCAACTCTCCTGTTTTATCTATATTAGTTCACCTGCTTCCAGAGAAGGCAGGTGTCTTAATCTGCCCGGGCTGCCATGACAATATACCATAGAGTAGGTGGCTTAAGCAACAGAAATTAGTTTTCTAGAAGTTCTGGAGGCTGGAAGCTCCAGATCGAGGTTCTGGCAGGGTTTGGCCTGGTGGAGGCTCTCTTACTGTCTCCTCGCTTGGGCCTTTCCTGTGAGTGAGTGTGTAAAGAGAAAGAAATCTCTCCCTTCCTCTTCTTAGAAGGCCACCAACCCAACTGGATTGAGGCCCTACCCTTATGACCTGACTTAACCTTAATGAGTTCTGAAAGGTCCTATCTCCAGATAGAGTCACATTAGGGGGTTAGAGCTTCAACATGTGAATTCGGGGAGGGAGGATGAAATTTAGTCCACAGCTATTCAGCAGAAGCATAAAGCGTTCTGGACCGAGAAGGGTTGATCTTGAGATACATCCTCAGAAAAATTGAGGCAGCCTTTGGGAAGGAACGGGGCTCCTTCTGCAACCACTGCCAAACCAAATCTATCACAGAAAAGACACTGTGTATCATTCGATTCAATTCAATTCGCAATCATAAATTCAGCATAAAGCTTCCTTGAGTTTTCCCTCCAGCCTCCTTATCTATCATCTTTTACTCAACTTCTAAGTTTTTGTCTTCTCTGAGGATATTAAGGCTTTGTACGACTGGCTTTCCAAGCAGGCAAGCCAGATTTACTCGAATCGAGGCAAATACACACCTTGGATTCAGACCTAATTAAACACTGGTAAAGGAGGTGGATTTGACAGTATCCGCCCAAGTTGTTGTAGAATTCAAGGTAACTCAGGAACGACAAAAAGGGACTAAAGAAAGGTTTGGTAATCCCGCAAAGAAAAGAACCTACAAAGTGACCACAGTGGGAGGCAGGGTGGGGCGGGGGTGGGGGCAGGAAGAACCCACTGTTCCAGAAGAGCGGCTGGTGATCCTTGCTATTCAATGGTATAGCATCTGGTCTTACCCTCACTGCTGTATCTTGGGGTGCGGTCCTCATGCTGACTCAAGAGTGAGGGGTTAGGGAAAAGGCAGGAAGTTGGGGTGGGTTGGCTTCTGAAAAGACAAGGGTTGTCAAGGGTCTCGACTGAAGTTTAGAAGCATAAAAATTTGGACTGGGGAGGTAGAGATCTCCTGACAATCAGCATGTCTTTGCTCCTCGTGTGACTCCCCAGATGTGGGTCTTGAACGCTGATGTCATGGGCGGCAAGTGGACGTGGTCTGAGGATACGGTAGTCGGTGATGCCAAATCCATACTCCCCACGCAGCCTGCTCGGTCTTCCTCCACAAGTGCTAAGGAGAGAGCCTCAGACCTGGGTCGGAAAAACTTTGACAACTTTCCTCCTCCTCTTCCCTCTTAACAGAAGGAGATGAGCTTCGGGATCACAGCCTTCCACAGGCAACAGGATGTAAAGTTTACCATCACTGGCTTTGCTTTTGTCCCGTTCACTTCTGCGTCTACCTGGCATTTACAGCAAAGGGTAGTACCTTTCGATGTGTGGTAGGGCTCTAACATTTTTTGAACGGATTCATTTTGAAGAAGCGGACTGACTTTTTTCGAGATGCGTGGGTTCAGATGTCCAAGACTGGTCGGGTGGACTGAAGTTTGGGAAACGCTAAATTAACGAAAGACATCTTTGTTTCCCTGCTGTTCTAACCTGTTCTATTTCTGGTCTTGGGGGGACCGCCCTACACTTCGTATTGGTCCAGATGCAGAATTCCAGGGTCCCATCTAGCACTTGGGAAGCACTGTGACAAACGTGATCTCAACCGACACTCAACACAACCTCCTCACGTCAACTCATGAACGGTTTTACTACCTATGCGCAGGTGACGGAACTGCAACTCTGGGAGGTTGACTGACTTGACCAAGCTCACAGGTCTCGAAAACAGGTGACCTTGGATCTCACCACCTCACCTCGGACTCCGGCTTCAGGACCCTATATTACATCTCTCAGCCCGAGTAGATCAGTATTTTCTGGTTTTGTTTCTTTTCCTCAAGAAAATTAAAAAGAGGTAAGGAGAGGATTAAAATTGACCTGCAAAGGGCCTCTGATAGCACCAAAATGTTCCTTCCACATTAATCTTCGGGAACCTGCATTCCTTCCAGTTGCAGAGTTAGGTGCACACACCACTGTGAGAATTAGGAAGCTGTATACCCACCATCAGGACATACGGCGGTCAAAGTCAATGGCATCTCAGGGCCTCTGGAGCCCCCCTGCTATAACAGGCACTTTCCAGAGGCTTCTGAGAGACGCTGCAGGAGGAGAGCAGCACAGCTAGAATGCTGCTTCCCTCCTACTGGCCTCAGGTTCAGAGGATGGCTACAGAAAGAAGAGCTACATACCACTGGCTTCAGGAAAAGGTGGGCAGGTCCCAGAACCAGAAATTTCCCCCTTCTTTAGACACAACACCTCACCCACCCTGCCTCTTTGAGCTCAGCTCCTACTATGCCCCCCCTTGGCTCTTACCCCGGCCACGCCGCCTTGGTGCTGTAGCCTGAATATGGCAGCCTGATCTTCCCCTCACCCTCTGCCTCAGGGCCTTTGCACATGCTGTTCCTGCTGTCATGGACCCTGTGCCCAATCTCTGCATGGCTGCATCCTTCTTGTCATTTAGGTCCCAGATCAAGTGTCATCTCTAAAAAGCCTTCCCTGTTTCAGCCTACCTAATGTTGTAGCCTCCCTTTCTCCATCACTCTCTTCTAAAACTGCACCATGCTACCTTCTTCACAGGACTTACAGACTCCTGAAATCGCTATGTGTTCACTGGCCTGTCTAGGGTCTCCGTCTCCCACACTGGGCTACAGCCCCCATGAGAGCGGGGACCCCAAATCTCTGACTCACGACGCTCACCTCCAGTGCCTGCCACGTCGGGGTATTAAGAAAACCTTAAGAGGATGAAAACACACTCAACAAATGCCTCTGCCCACAAACCCCTCCCCACCCCCCAAATACAATCACTTTTCCAAGAAGCAAAAAGGAAAGCAAAGAAATGCTTCTGTACCTTGTTCGTGAAGAATCCATGTCCAGCACCAGCTTTGCTAAGTGTTTCCTCTGCTTCTGAATGTTTGGGATTTCCACCTGTGGTTACAGGACAGAGTCAGACTGAAGCTCCAGATGAATTCCTAAGTGGGCTGGAGGCCTCCCAGGCCTCATTTCCAGAGGAAACCCTCAGTTCTCTTGCCTGAGCTAACCGCTGCTCTTTCTTCACTGGACACCTGCCAGGCCCTCCATCACCCCGACCCTCTTATGGGACTCTGCACTCCTCTGCTCACTTATTATGCCCGGCCTCATTCTTGCCCCCACCTCGGCCAGCAAACATGGGCTCCATCCCAGCTCTGTCCACGGCACAAGGGCCATGCGTGGGGAGAAAAGCAGAACGAGCTGACACACAGACCTAATTCAAAACAGACAGCAGCACGACTAGTCTCAGGAGGCTTGAAAGCTGATGGGGGAATGCAATCAGGATGTATTTTTATAGAAATAAAGTAAGACTTCCCACCCACCCCCCAAATAAATACCCAATAAACATTACCACAGCTCTGTTCGGCTATGACAAGTTCTTCCATAGTGGTTGGTTGTATGTGGATGCTCTTTTTACATTTTTATTTCTAAAAATGACTTCACTGAACATCCCAGTGTGGGATTCTGGGCCCGGGCCTCAACCAAAGAGGGGCAGGAAGTGCGAATTTAAAAGGGAAAACTGACTATATTGAAACCAAAAATCATCTCAGGCCGCGGCTTTTATATAGAAGGGAGAACCGTGAGGAAGGTCTTCAGAGCAGGGGTGAGTAACGTATGGAGGGGAACCATATCTGATAGGGAAGAGAAGAAGTGGCCCCGGGTTCCTCCAGGCACCACGGAGCCTATAAGCAAAGCTGGAGGGGGACTGGGGACATCTGGTTGGTACAAGCGAGTCTCAGCACCCAGGTCAAGCGCGTCCCTTGGGTTTGCTTCAGGCTTTGCCCGAGACCCCAGGCCACCTTTCCGAAGAGCAAACGGCCTCTCACACATGCACTTGGCTGGGCAACAGCCTATAAGAGGACAGCATCTGAGGAGTCTAGAGCTGATCTCTGTCAAACCACCATATATAGGATTTTCTCCTTGAAAACTTTTAGGCACTCTGGTTAATGATTTGCCCGTCCATTCTGTGACAGAAATTGCACCAGGGGATGGGGAGGTGCTGGGGGCAGTCCAGGAAGGAAACCAGGCCTGGTCTAGGGCAATGCCGTCCAATATGGTAGCCTCTAGCTTCCTGTGGCTACAGCGTTTTAAATTCAAATGAACAAAAATTAAATAAAATTTAAAAGGTAGTTCCCTCAGTGACACTAAGCACGTTTCAAGAGCTTACTAGCTCCCAGGTGGCTAGTGGCTAGCAAACCATGCAGACACAGAGCATCTGCAGTTCCATAGGACGGGGCTGGGGTGGTCCTGGATGGCCAATTCAGGGCAACTGGCGGGAAGTCAAGGGCTCAAGGCACATAAAATCCCCAACCATTTCCATTCTTACTTGACACAATTTCACTTGGTTGGAGCTAGCCAAATTGTCACGTGGACATCAAGCTGTCTTTGCACCCAAATGGTTTTATTTTGCATCCTTTAAGATCCAAAGATGAAGGGGATGAAGAGTGCACTTATCACAAGAGCACTGCGGAAGGTATAGAACTGTTGATTTGCTATACTGTGCACTTGAAACTCACAGAACGCTGTGTGTGAACTACACTGGAATTAAAGTAAGAAATCATAAAATCGAATTAAATGAAAGAGAAGGGATGCATGTACACATAAGGTGCCAATGGCCCTACAGAGAGTCTCCTCCTGAGATTGGGGGCTGCTGTTCCTTTTCCAGAAGACGGGAGATGGGTGGAGGGCAGGGTTGGTATAGCGTGCAGGCTCTGGTGAGGAAGGACGTTGGGAGCTAGCTTTGTTCCTGTCCCCACTGGAACACCAGGGGAGAAGAGTGTGGGTGGGAGAGAGGACCGGCAGGCAGCGGGAAGGGCTGCCACTTCGGGGAATCCAGAACAGGCGGACGGGCAGTGATAATTCCTGATGAAGAACAGGGTCACCGGGCAGTGTGGCCTCATGCATGCGGCTTACCTCGGCCAACAAAAACAGGGGCTCGATCACGTCTCTCTCCACCTGCAGCTCAAAGTGGATCAGCTCCTGAGCCAGCTTGTCCTCTGTCTCTCCGCAGAGTTTCAGCATCTTCCTGCAACGGGAGGAGAAAGCCATGCTAAATACCCCACGGAGCAAGAGGTCCCTGTATCCAAGCTGCCCAACTTGTTCTGTTCATTTTGATTTCTAAAATTGTCCATTTTTTAAATGATGCAAAGTATCTACCACGTGCCTGGAGTAAAGGGAACACGTAGGGAAATATGAGAGAGAGAGACGTAGGGAGAAAAGACTCCTACATGCTGAATGTACAGGCCTGTAAGACCCAGATGCTTCTATGTCCCCTGAACACTGGAAAATGAACTACAACCGATGCACAAACAGACCAACATCTTTCAACTCATCCCCCAAAACTCAAGTTTCAGGAGGCTCTTCTAAAAAGAGAACTCCTTCTCCTAAGCCCATGACAACTTACCTTGTATAGAAGGAACAATTATCCAGTGGAAAATTGGAATGAAAAACCATTACAAAAGTGTATTCATAATAAGCAAATAACAGAAGACCTATGTTATATTCCTAGATGAGAAGATACATTATTTCAAAGACGTTAATTCCCCAACTGGGTATACGGGTATCCAGGCAGTCCTCCTTTTACATGGTACCAGGCTAACTGAAACGCATGTAAAAAGTTTTTACAAATCAATAAAAGTAGGAGAAGAGGCCACGGATTCTAAAGTTAGTATGTATCTTTCCTGTTCTTGTGTTTACACTTTTATGACATATATAAGCGTTCACATACAATATAGAATACCGATGCCTGACCTAAACAAGTTCACATCCATGGTTTTACACTGAACCTATCCCTCCTGCTTGCTTTGTTCATGCATCATTATCTTTGGGGCTTACGCATCTTGATACATGCAGAATTAAATCATTCTGGTGCAGGGAATTTCATCTCACCATTTATTAAGCCTTCCCTTAATCAAGAGGGCCATCATGTCCTTCCCTACCCCAACAGGGCTGTTGTATGCATGTACAGTCTCTGTTTGCGGGTGACAATTTTTCTGTGCAAAGGAGAGGAGATATGCATTCCCTTAACCTTACTAGATACTTGTTCTCCAAAGTGATAACACGAACTTCGCCCTCACCAGTGCAAATGAGAGTTCCCAATGCTCTACACTCTTGCCAAGCCTCGGTACTGGTAAGGCGTTTAATTTCTGCCAAACTGGTGGATGCCAAATATTACCTCATCCTGGTTTTAATTTGCATTTCTTGGCTACTGGTGAGACTGAGTGCCTTTTCGTCTTTTGGGCCATTTCAAGATCCCTCTTGTAGGATGTGCTTGTTCACATTCGTTGACTGTTTGGGTACCAGGATCTATTTATTTGGATTCACTTGTAGGAGTTCTTTATATATACTTAAAAATATGGGTGTGGATGTAGAAGGCATTCAAATTCTTTTTCCGATCTGCTGGAAATTTCAACTTCCAGGTCGTGGGCTTCTCTTTGTTCCTTTTTTAATGGTGTCTTTTTTTTGATTTGTCTATTACTTACCTCCATGCTCCTGATGCTACTTGTTAATCTTTTTTTTTTTTTTTTTTTTAAGCATTGGCTATTGACAGTCAACTCTGGAAAATGAGAATTTGGTGATCTTTACATCTGCCCTCCCCGCATTTATTTATATCAGTAGACCTTTAGTATTTGCACTACATTTTGATCCCATGTGCCATTCAGAGTTTGGCTGGGTAGGATATCGTGATCACTGGTCTTTCCCATACATTTGTCCTCTCTGTAGAGTTAATAATTGTCTTGCTTTGGTTTGCTTGTTTAGTTTTTCTATAGACCTGACTGAACCCCAAATCCTCCACCACTATTTTGTCTAAGATACTGAACCACACTTGATGTGAATGAATTCCATCTTGAATTCATCTCTCCTGGACCCGCGTCAACCCGGATTGACTTTTCCTTTGATCCCTTGGCACAGCTGTCTTCCTGCACACTTCCTTCCCCATTTCCTGGGATTTTTCTCTCCCTCTGTCCTATGCCGGGTAGATCTTATTTCCCATATCCTGTGTCTACCTCTTTCTTGGTCACTCCATTGTAGAGCACACTTTGCTTTAGCTGCCTGAGAAAGAGTGTGCAGGAAGCCAATTTTTGAGACCTTGCACGTCATGACATTCCCCTCTACCCTCACATTGATTGATAGCTAGGCAGGATATTGAATTCTATGCTGAGCATCATATTCCTTCAGAATTTTGAAGGCATTCCATAGCAATCTCCTTGCTTCCATTGTTGCGTTTGGCAAGTCTGGAAGCATTCAGATTTCTGAGCCTTTCTATGTGACCATTTTTTTCCTCCAGAAGGTTGTAGAATCTCTGTACTTGTCACTAGTCTTCCCTAGTGGTGAGCCTGGGCACAGGTTCAACTTTTTCTATGGTATCAGGAGCTCAGTGTGCCCTTTCAATATAAGAACTCATGTCCTCTGTTCTGGAAAACTCTTCTGGATTACTTTATTACTACTGTTATTCTTATATTTTAATAATATAAGTTATTCAGGCCTACAGCTTCCTGGATTGGTCCTCTAATCTTCCAACTTTTCTATTTTTCGTGTCATGGTTGTCTTCTTCTCTTCTCTGAATTTCTTCGACTTTATCTTCCAAACTTGCCACTGAAAATGTACTCTTTGTTTCCATGAGCTTGCTCTTGACCTCAGAGTATTTCTTTCCCATAGCATTTTTTTATTGACATCCTGGGTTTTTTAATTCTTTTTTCATTGAGATATAATTGGAAAACATACTGGCTTTCATTCATGGACGCATTATTTTCTCTTAGCACTTGACAATGTAAGCATGTGTTTTCCTGAAATCTTCTCCTTCCCATGCAATATCTATTTCTTCCGAGTTATATTTTCTCTTACCCTACTGTTTTGGTATGTAGGCTGCAAGTTAGACTTCCTTCAGTCTGGTGAGCTTGGACGCCTGTCTATATTTAAGAGTGGGGACTCAACAGCTTGGAGTATGTGAGTAAAGCTCATTGGCTGCGAGCTTATCTATAGGATGGCTGAGCTGGGCCATTTGTTCAAGCATTGCCCCCTCCAGTATCTTTGGGTCTTTAGTTCATTCCCGTTGGGCTGGTCACATTTGCCAGAGAAGGCTCTTCTTTCTTTCCTGCTTAGAGAGGAAAGACCTGGGGGTCGCATGGGTGGGGGGAGAGAGATGCAGGATCTCAGCATCCAGTAGGCATTAGTCACTTTAATGTGTGATACCCTTACATGGTGTCCACAGTCTGGGGACACTCTGCTTTACACCCTCCAGAGAATAAAGCTCCAGACTTTTCTGCTGGGGCTGGGGGTGAGGAGATGAGGGTCTCCCAGAGCTGTGGATAAGGGCTGGGTTTGAGCCACCCAAGTGGTACTAAGCTAGCTTTCGACACACACTCATAACTTGGATCACCTCCCAGCCCCCAAAGACCCACTCACCATTTTAGAGATCCCTGGGGCCACCACCCCTGAGCCTGCAAGTATTTCAGGATGTAAATGACATTGGCTGTCTGCATATCCTACTTCTGGCTCCAGAGTCCACTTTGAGACCTGCCCAGTGAGTTATCAGTCCATCCTAAGCTTCACAGCTCACAAAATTTTGTTTCCTCTCCTGTTCTTCATGCCTTTCTGGGTTCGTGTCTTTTAAGGAAAAAAAAAAAAAATCCCTTCATCGTAGTGGATTTGGAAGGGAACAAAATTCGATGTTTGTGCTCAGTCTGTCATTTTACCTGGGTGTTCTTCATCCCTTCACCTCCAACCTTCCTGTGTCCCCATGCTTTAGGCGAATCTCAGAAACAGCGTGCATGTTTCTCCACCTGTGGTGCTCTATATTATGAGCTGTTGAGTTTATTCCATCTTTTATGACTGCAGATATAGAGCTCTTATACCTTTACTTTGTTTTCTCTTTCCCTGCTTTTTGCTCTTTTAGTCCCTTCTAGGGTGTGTTTTTTTTTTTCTATTTTATTTACTTCCCTTTACATCCTGTTACTAATTTTGAAGTGCCACATTCTATTCCCCTTGTGGTTCCTCTTGCTTTTCTAATACACACACTTTACACGAAAATGCAACACCTTATCTTTCAAAGAGTTAAAGACCTTGAAACACTGATCGCCTTCCCAATGTTCCATGCTATTATTTTCTGGTATTTTTGTTTCACTTTGCTTTACTGCCCCCCCCCCACAAATTAATGTTTTAATTCAATGCTTATTTGTATTTCTTTACACCAAAAGGTAGCAGAATATGCCATCCCCAAAATGCCGCTTGGGCATAAGGATTATTTTGAGCTGAAGGCAGTCGAGAAACAGATACAGAAGAGATCTCTGCCCTCCCCCTATGTGCCCTAAAAGCAGGACATGGACTGTAAAGCTGTCGTCCTCCCCCCTTACCTGGAAGGACAGAAGTCAATCACCAAACACAACTCCAGAGCCTTATCAGCCAGACATGAACCCAAAAAGTCACCACAGGAACCTACATATAAACCTGACTAATAAGCCTTATCTTCCATTTGCTCCCCCATATATCTGCCACCCTAGGAACTCAAATTTCTTCTCCTTTGCCTTGTCACTTCCCTCAAAATTGTTCTTTTGTAAAAAGTGCTACCTAAACCCGAGTTCGAACCTGCCTTTGAGTTACTCATCACCGAGTTCTGCCGTGTATGCACTGCACATGTTAATAAAATGTGCATGCTTTCCTCTGTTGATCAATTTAATTTGCAGGGCCCCACTCAAGGAACCTCAGACAGGTAGAGAGAAAGAGAATTTCCATCCCCTGCATGGCACTCACTCAATTTTTTATGCTATCTGGCTACTTGCATGTCATTTCTTCCTTCTGTATGTAACCTGTTTCGCACACCTTAACTAGATCTTACAGTGAGAATATGCGAGTAGTAATTTTTCCTAAATCTTTGCCTGCACTATCTTTATTTTCCTTTATTCTTACGTAATGGTTAAGTTCATCATAGAATCTAGGTTTCTTATATTTTCACTCAATACTTGAAGGGATTCCTCCATTACTGCCTCACATTTATTTTGGTTGATGAATAAGCAGTCTGCTATCAACTGAATTACTCTCTTTCTTTTAAAAGATTGACTAAGAGAGAGAGAGTTCGAGCGAGCAAGCAGGAGGGGCAGAGGGAGAGGGAGAGAGAATCCTAAGCAGACTCCCTGCTGAGCACAGAGCCCAATGCAGGGCTCGATCTCGTGACCCTGAGATCATGACCTGAGCTGAAATCAAGAGTTGGATGCTCAACCGACTGAGCCACCCAGGCGCCCCTTGAATTGCTCTTTTACATGCAATCATCTTTTCCTCTGCTTGATTTTAAATTTCTTTTTTTTTTTTTTTTGTTAATAATCTGTAGTCTTCCTATCGTGCATCCGGGGATAGATTTCTTTCTGTTGACCTCAATTAGCACATTTTGTGCTTCTTCAATCTAAAGATTTAGGGTTTGGTTTTTTTTTTTAAATCTAGAAAATAAAAGTTCCACCATAATTTCCCCTTGTCCTCATTATCTTCTTGGGGAACAGCTCCCAGACACAGGTCTGCATTCTATCATCCATGCTTGTCCATTTCCAAATGCCACCTCCCATCCCTTGTAAATAACTCTGCTCGTTCTTGGTGGCAACTTCCCATCTGTTTGCAAGCTCACCAATTCTTTATTGGTGTGCAATTTCAGTTTATCTCGTTTTTTTGTTTTTTTTTAATTCCCTATGCTGCACCTTCCATGCCCTTGACTTGTTTCATAGCTGGAATCCTGAACCTCCCACTCCACTCCCCCTATTTTGCCCACCCCCCCATATCCCTCCCCTCTGGCCACCATCAGTTTGTTCTCTGTATTCATAGGTCTGTTTCTGTTTTTGTTTGTTCATTTGTTTTTCAGAGTCCATGTATAAGTGAAATCATATGGTATTCGTCTTTCTCTGTCTGATTTATTTCACTTAGCATAATATCCACTGGGTCCATCTTTATGGTCACAAGTGACAAGACCTCATTCTTTTTTATGGCTGAGTACTATTCCATTATATATAAATACTCTTATACATACACAGACAGACACACTCATGCACCCCACATCTTCTTTGTCCATTCATTTTATCAATAAATGGGCACTGGGGCTACTTCTGTATCTTTGCTATAATAAATAATGCTGCAATATAAAGGAGTGCATATACGCTTTTGAATTAGTGTTTTTGTCTTCTTTGAGTACACACCCAGTAATGCAATTGCTGGGTCATATGGTTAAGTCTATTTTTAACTTTCTGAGGAACCTCCATACTGTTTCCCACAGTGTCTGCATCAGTCTGCATTCCCACCAACAGGACACGAGGGTTCCTTTTTCTCTGACTCCTCGCCAAGAGCTTGTCTCATGGCTTTAAATTATAATAAGTATGATTTGAATTTTAAAAAGTTCTATTTGGTTTTTCTTTAATTCTGTCCTTTTTTTCTTTCCATATCATTTGGTTCTTTGCTCAAGGACTATTTTGTCTTTTAAATTGAAGTCTATAATTGACATATAACATTGTATTTGTTTTAGGTGTACAATGGAAGGATTCAACATTTGCATATACTGTGAAATGAGCACCATGGTACATCTAGTTAATGTGTCACCATACACAGTTGCAACAGGAATTTTTTTTTTTCCCCTTAAAAATATGGAGCGTTTCACACATTGGCCTGTCACCCATGTTCAGGGACCATACTAACATCTACTGTTCCAATTTTAGCATATGTGTTGCGAAAGCACGCATTGTCCTTACTTAATTTTTAAGCTTCATTTTAAGCATAACTCTTTCACACATATTGATATCTATTACTTCCTATTTTCTTTCATATTAACGCATTATTTTTAGTTCTCTCTGCTTCTCCTGCTGATCGTGCCTTGCTAATCCTCCCTCACGACGATTCTATTTTTAGTTTGTTTTTATTGTGAGCTCAAATTCAGCCCGGGTTGTTCTGGGAATCCTATAATTTCTGACATCTGACATGGAGAGATTTCCCATTTACTTCGGCTGCAGCCCTGGGGATTTCATTTGTCCTTCAACCGTTTATTGTGCTTATTATGCTAATTTCTCCATCCGGGGAGTTGCCTCCCTGCACAGCCAATATGACTTTTTTGGAGCCTGGGGTTTTGATTTTTCTCACCAGCAAACCTTTTCTTCTTCCCACCCCAGCCCCAACTAGTCTTCAAGTGTCCTCAGTGCATCCCTGAGAATTTCTGGCCCACTTCTCAGGGATGGGGGCTTACCTAGACTTGACGCAAACCCACACATGGTGTCACCTACCCGAGAAGTGTGTCATCTCCCAGGATAGCTGACCCCTCCATCAAACACTGAGCCAGTGTTGTCAAAGGCAACTTTTTCTGAAAAGGAAAAAAAAAACCAAAAATCCTGTTGTAATGAAAATTACTTCAATAGCCACTGCCTACTCTGAAACAGCAAAAAGTCAAATACTGCCTAGGTACTGTATCAGCTAAGACAAAAACGGATCTTAAAGTATGTTTAAAACCTAAACATTCATGGCATACAGATTAGACTCAGAGGTCAAAATTCAGAAAATCAAAACCGAATTAACCAATCTGGAAAATTAGCCCACGGTTTACAGGCTGCATTTTAAAATAAAGTGGGATAGGGGCGCCTGGGTGGCTCAGTCGGTGAAGCATCTGACTCCTGATCTCAGCTCAGGTCTTGATCTCAGGGTTGTGAGTTCAAGCCCTGCGTTGGGCTCCACACTGGGTGTGGAACCTACTTAAAAATAAAATAGAGTGGGATAGTGGCAAGAAAAAAAAAAAGACAAGATTTCAAACTTACATTAACAAAGATTTCAACAATTCCAACAATTTCCAAACTCAACAATTTCCAAAAGTCAATCTCTCTTTGGAGAAGTGCCTTAGCCCCATTTTATAAACGAGGCAGCTTGCAGCACCTGGGTGGCCCAGTGGTTGAGCATCTGCCTTCAGCTCAGGTCTTGTTCCCAGGGTCCTGGGATTGAGCCCTGCCAGGTCAGGCTCCCTGATCAGTGGGGAGTCTGCTTCTCCCTCTCCCTCTGCTCTCCTCTCTACTGGGGCGCACTCTCTCAAATAAATAAATAAAATCTTTTTTAAAAAAATCAATAAACGGGCGCCTGGGTGGCTCAGTTGGTTAAGCGACTGCCTTCGGCTCAGGTCATGATCCTGGAGTCCTTGGATGGAGTCCCGCGTCGGGCTCCCTGCTCGGCGGGGAGTCTGCTTCTCCCTCTGACCCTCCCCCCTCTCATGTGCTCTCTCTCATTCTCTCTCTCTCAAATAAATAAATAAAATCTTTAAAAAAAAAAAATCAATAAACGAGGCAGCTCACGGTCCAGAAAGAGAGAGAAGTGTTCACATACAATAACAATGCAAAGAAAATAAGCATAAAAATAAAGGCACGCGGGGCGCCTGGGTGGCTCAGTCGGCTAAGCGGCTGCTTTCGGCTCAGGTCATGATCCCAGGATCCTGGGATCGAGCCCCGCATCGGGCTCCCCGCTCAGCGGGAAGCCTGCTTCTCCCTCTGCCTGCCACTCTGCCTACGTGTGCTGTCTCTCTATCTCTCTGTCAAACAAATAAGTAAAATCTTTAAAAAAAAATAAAAATAAAAATAAATAAAGGCACGCTCTAAGGAAAATAGAAAATGGCTGATGAGCACAAGAAAAGACACTAAACATCATGAGCCACGAAGAAAGTCCGAAGAAAATCCAAATCAAAGCCACCGTGAGTTACCACCTCACACCCACTAGGATGGCAAGAGGAGTAATAATAATAATCAGAAAATAAGTATTGGTGAGCCCGGGGAGTGCTGGTGAGCCTGTGCAGAACCTTTGTGCTATGCAGGGATAAACATAAAATGGGGCAGCACTGTGCTGAAGTTTGGCAGTATTTCAGTAAATTAAACAAAATTACCAAACGGCCTGGCAAGGCTACTCAATGCCATGCAAAATAACTGCAGACTGTCAAACAAAAACCCATGCATGCACGTGAATGCCAGCACTATTCATAACAGCCCAAAGGTGCAAAGAGCTCCAGTGTCCGTCGACTGACGAATGGATGGATTACGAATGGTATATGCATATGGTGAAATATTATTCGGCTGTAAAAAGGAATGAATGGCTGACACATACTAGGACATGGATGAACCTTAGAGAACTTCACGCTCAATAAGCCAGACACACAAGGCATTGATCAGATGATTCGATTTACAGGAAGTATCAAAAAGAGGCAAATCCACACTACTGTAGCATGGCCCATTCCCTCCTTGCTAATAAGCACCGACAAGCCCTCTCCTCACTGAGCCGAAACCACAATGCTACACAGATAAGCTCCTCAACTGGAAAGCAACTGGACTGCACGCAGTCCGGAGCCTCCTGTGTTACTACACAGAGATCTTCAGCTCCTCTCATGGACCTTATATTCTACATGCAGGGAAACAAATAATAAACATGCAAACTGTAACAGGGATCATTTCAAATAGTTGGAAGTGGTATGGACAACAGAAATCAGGACAATGAGGAGTGGGCTGTGGCGGGGCATGGAGCCCCGACACGGGAAGACCTCTCAGAGGGGGTGGCATTTAAGATGCAACTCAAGTGGGAGAGAGTCAGCCATGCCTCAAAAAGATTTGAGAAAGAACAGTCCAGGTAGAGGGAACTGCAAGTGCAAAGGCCCTGAGGTAGAACTAACATGGCTGGCTTGAGGTCCCTGCTTTGAACACCCCCAGGAGATCCGCATGCTCTAAGTTATCTCCAGGGAAGACACGGGCAGGTAGGTCAGCCCCCAAGAGTGACGTGGAAATTCATGTGGTTCCTGAGGTAAATCCCGGTAGAGGGAGCCCAAGACACCTGTGTGGCTAAGGTCCTTCAGTGGGTCTAAAATATATACCCCTCCCTGTGCTTAGACGTGTCCCCTCCAGTGAAGTCAGACGCCTTTCACTCAAGGGATAAACTCATTACTCATCACTTCAAATAAAATGGGACATTCTTCTTGGTAAAAACTAGACCATGCAACTCAGTATTAATGTATCCAAATATAAACATCACTTTCTAGTTGTCCTACAAAGGTATTATGTACACATTTCTGGAGACTTAATTAAAGGTGCAGTAAACAGTGTTATGAGAGTGGGTACTCCCACATTGCCTTTTAAAAAAAGTTATTTAAAGCACATTTTTTTAAAAGTGTCTAAAGTGGTTAAAAATGAAAAGAGGCAGGTATGAATATATGCTCACAGAGGCACCATGACTTAAGGTATTAGCTCTTAATCAGGAGTGATTCTGCCTTCTTGGGAACTTTGGCAATGTATGGAGATATTTTCACTTCTCACAACATGGGGACCACCACTGGCATCTAATGGAGAGAAGCCAGGGACGCTGCTAAACATCCTACTATGCACAGGACAGTCTCCCCAAAATAAAGAATTACCCAGCCCAAAATATCAAGAGTGCTGAGGCTGAAACACCTGGTTTAAGGAGAAAGGTCTTCATGGGGCGCCTGGGTGGCTCAGTCGGTTAAGCGTCTGCCTTTGGCTCGGGTCATGATCCCAGGGTCCTGGGATCGAGCCCCGCATCGGGCTCCCTGCTCAGCGGGAAGCCTGCTTCTCCCTCTCCCACTCCCCCTGCTTGTGTTCTCTCTCTCTGTTAAAAAAATAAACAAAAAATCTTTAAAAAAAAAAAAAGGAGAAAGGTCTTCAATATGTAAGTTCCTAAAATATTCCAATAACAAACCAGTGAAGATGCTCTACCTTGAATGTCAGGTAGAACAATCCCAGTATGGGTTAGCTCACACAGGACGACCACTTGGGTTCGTGCTGAGCATCCCGGGTCCCATGACTCCTGCCTTTGGGGCAGGACCTCGGCTATCCAGAATCCTTCTTTAAAATTTGACAATGAAACAAAGTAAGAAAGACCATACCTAGAACAGACTAAAGGGGGGACCTCCAATAGCCTCGAAATTGACATCCTTTGGGGAAATGTATCTACCAGTTGATGACCTGAGTTTTTCTAATATATTGACAAGGATGAGCTCAATTAGTCCTACCAGTGGGTCAAGCAGGAAACTGGGCCTGTGGGTGGCTAAAGGCAGGAGGGTCAAGATCAAGAGAACAAAAACAGCTGATGAGGACCGCGAGGCTAGCCAGTGTTGGAGAAGGATGGTGGGCACAGCCAAGTGTCTGTTCTGCACAATCCACACCAGAAAAAGCAGCCTGAAGTGCAGGACTTTATTATTTTCCACTTATTATTATTATCTTCCACTCATTTCATCACTTAACACCCTCACTAATGACTCTGAGAGGCTTTCAGGCGGCAAAGAGAGTAGCATCCAGTGACACAGTATTACAAAGTGAGAGTTATTCCTGTTTCGATGGTCTTTTAATCCATAATATTTTAACATGGAGAATAACCTTTCTCTCTCTTGCTCTTTGTTCTATCTAGCTAGCTAGCTACGTGTTGGAGGAGGTCACTGAGAGCACGTGACTGCTGACTGACCCGTGAGCTGGACCCAGGCAATCAGAGGTTCCTTGCCCCCCTCCTACCCTGTCTTGCCCAAGCTAGAAGCTGCCCTAAGGACACAGCCCTGGGAAAGTAAGGTGCTGTTGAGACCATCTGGACGTATACGTGACCGAACCCAGTTACGGTCTCTTTATAAACTTTTAAGATTTGGCGTGTGGGTGTGGGGATCAATTAGTCTTGTGACCACCCAAGACGAACCTCATATATAAGCTCCCTTGCTTCTTAAACCTGCCACCTACCAAACCTGGAGCGGTCTGTCTCTTTCTGTGGTCTCTCCTTGCCCTCTGTGTCCAAGAGCCAGTTTGCGAGCCAACACTCTAACAGATTTTTAACCAGTAAATACATGCGTATGGCACAAAACTCAAAAGTCACTAGAAAGTTTACAGCAGCAAGTGTCCCTCCCATCCTTGACTCTTGGACACCTAGTGCCCTTCACCAAACACCATGACAGCGATAAGTCTTCTGTACATCCTTCTATAAACACTCTAAGCAAATCCAATTACACATATGTGCGTGTCTATTTTTAGTGGATACTTTTTCCCCTGCAAATGTTAGCATACTATACCCACCACTCTGAGCCTTGCTTTCCTTTTTGTGTACAGATACCTCTTGGGTCATTTCCCATCATGACACACTGAGCTGTTCCATTCTTCCTCTTTTTTTTTAACGGCTACATAGATCACGGAAGGAAGAGGAGAAAATTCATTTTAACAAGTCCTCTACTGACGGTGTAACTGTCACAACCCAGCAGGTGACTCTCAGGAGGAAGAATCCCCTCTAGGAGGGAGGCTGAGGGTGAATTAGTGTGTGGACTTCCAAGGGCAGGAGTGAAGGGGGTTAATTGGG